CAGCAAGTGCCTTTACCTATTGAGCCATCTCACAGGCCCTGTTTGGGTTTTTCTGTTTTGGTTTTTCCTGAGACAGGACCTCACTATGTAGACCAGCTGGCCTCGTATACAGAGATCCACTTGCCTCTGCCTCTACCTCCCTAACGCTGGGAGTAAGGTGTGTACCACCACACCAAGGCATTTTCTTAACTGCTAATTAATATGGGAAGGCCCAGCACATTATGGATGGTGCTGTCCCTGGGCAGGTGGTCCCAGACTGTATGAGAAGGCAGGCTGAGCACAGACCAGGAGAACAAGCCAACAAGCAGTCATCCTCCATGGTCTCTTCTTCTGCCTTGACTTCCCTTAGCAATAAAATGGTCACTGGGAAAAGTAAGACGAAATAAACCCTTTCATTCCCACTTGCTTTTGGTCATAGTGTTTTATCACAGCAATAGAAAGAAAACTAGAGGGGCTGAAAAGATGGCTCAGTGGTTAAGAGCACTGGCTTGTCGGGACTGCCTGAGTGCAGCCGCTGCTCTTGCAGAGGATCAGGTTATGTTCTGAGCACCCACATGGGGGCTAACGACTATCTGTAACTCCAGTTCCAGGGGATCAAAAATCTTTTTCTGGCCTCTGAGGGCACTGCAAGCACATGGCACACCTACATACATACAGACAAATGCTCATAAACAAATAAAAATAAAAAAATATAGCAAACTAGAACAAAGATATTTTTCCAATTTCTTTCTCTGAGAGTATATTGTTGGTGTATAAGAAGGCTACAAAACACTTGTTTTTTAATATCCTACATCTTTACTGTGTTTATTTGATCTAGGAGTTTCCTAGTAGATTCTACAGGTTCTTTTAGGTAGAGAACCATGTCATCTTCAAGTAAGGATAGTTTGAACTCTTCCTTTCCTATTTTTTATTCACTTTGTGCCTTTCTCTTGTCTAATTGCTATAGCTCAGATTAGAGCGCTACATTAAATTAGAGGAAGAGTGGGCTCCCTGTCTCATTCCTGGCTTTAGAGGAGATGCTCTCAGTATAATGCTCTTAGTATAATGTTTGCTCTTGGTTTGTTGCATACAGCCTTTGTTATTTTGACATATGTTCCATCTATTCCTAACCTCTCCAAGACTTTTATCATGAAGGTGTGATGAACTTTTCAAATGGCCTTTTGTCAACTCATGAGCAATTTGATTCTTTAAACAATCTTTTCTTTTCTTTTTTTTGGTCTTTTTGAGACAGGGTCTGTCTCTCTGCAGCACCAGTTGGCCTGGAACCCACCTCAAAGACCAGGCTGGCCTTGAACTCACAGAGATCCACCCGTCTTTGCCTCCTGAGGGCTGGGATTAAAGGTGTGTGCCACCACACCCAGCCTTAAGCAATTATCTCTAAAATATGAGCTTCTTGCATTTATAGACATCCATTCTTAAAAAACAAAAGACAATTTCACATAAGTAAGATGAACTGCTTCTGAAAAGCATTCTTTATAGATTGAAGTCTCTATTACTTGCCTTTAGATTTCTCTATTTAAAATGCTTTTGAGAGGCTGGAGAAAGGATCTGAGTTTGAATCCCAGTACCCACGTTGGGTAGCTCACAATTGCTTGTAACTCCATCTATAGAGGATCCAATACCCTTTTCTAGCCTCTGCAGGCACTTGCACACACATGACATACACTCACATAGAGACATAAATAAAACATTTTTGAATATTTTTTAAAAGTTTTAGAAAGAGTACTATGAAATAAACACACAAGTTGACATGCCAAGATGGGAAATTTCACAAGACCCCACTCTTACATGAATCAATGGCTGGTGAGAGAGGGAAAATCAGATTTCTCTAGGGACAAGCCTCCTGATAGGTTTTCCGATCTCAAGTTGTGAGCCTTAAACACAAGTACATACAAGCAATACTAAATGGACTCAGTAGGTTTTATATACTATATATATATATATAAAATGTAGCTATGATAACTAAAGAAGAGGTCATGAATTTGAGAGGGATGGGGGGCATGGGAGGAGTTGGAGGGGGAGGAAGTGTAAAAATGCTATAAATACAGTACTCCTATATGAAAAAGGAAGTATAGAATTCACCACATAAACTCTCCTGACCAAATATGAAATCTGAAAAAACATCATTAAAGCCAACTTTTTAATTTGGTCTCTCTGAGACAGGTTCTCCTTGTAGCCTCAGCTGGCCTAGAACCTACTATGTAGACCAGGCTGGCCTTAAACTCTGCCTGCCTCTGCCTCCCAAGTTAAAGCCAACTTTTTAAAATCTCTGGAGAGGAATCAAAATCAGTCAAAAACTAAAGCAAAGTCTGCTATTAACAGAAACTCTTAATAATAATAACAACAATAATAAAAACTTTAAAACTGACAAATGATAGACATTTCTCCAAAGATAAGCATGAAAAAAATGTTCAACATTATTAATCACTATGGAAATGAAAAGCAGAATCATAATGAAATACGTCTTCAAACACACCAGGTAGAATAAAATAAAATGAAAAGTTAAGTGCAGTAGTATATATCTGTAACTCCAGCCAGCTATGTGGAGTGCTCAGAGAGGAAGATCGAAAATTCAAGGCTAGCTAGGGCAACATACTGAAACCTCTTTATAAGGAAGGGAAGGAGGGAGGGAGGAAGGGAGGAAAGGACAGAGAAAGAGACAGAGAGAATAAGTAGAAGCCTCATACATTGCTTGTGGAAAAAATGGTACATCCACTTTGAAAAACAGTTTGGCAGTTTCTCAAAAAGTTAAAGTGGTACCATACAACCCAACTATTTCAACTGTAGATATGCATGCAAGAGAAAATAAAACACATGTCCACACAAAATTTAAATGTTTAGATCCTCATTATTCATTTCCCAAAGTAGAAATAACCCAAATGTCTATCAACTAATAAAGAAAGAAAGAAAATGAGGTACTACTTGGGGCTAAAAAATGCTGAGATATGTCACAATTGATACAGTTTTAAATATTGTGTTAAGAAGCCAGTCACAAAGGACTGCAAAGGAAAGAGGAAGCTTAGTAAGACAGATAACTTTTAAGGTAACATCTGCTCTACACCACCCAGACCAGCAATACCACTGAAGAAACTGAGATAAAAAGAGATCTCTTTGTATGTTTTTCTTAAAATACATGTGATCTACAACTATCTCAAACATTTGAAAAACAACAAAAATACCTTTTTAAAGCTACTCCCAAGCCAGATGTGGTGGCACACATCTGAATTAGACTCTTGATTTTTAATCAAGAAAGTTGGGCATGACTTTAATCCCAGCAGAGGAAGGTGGATCTGTGAGATCAAGGTCAGTCTGGTCTATGCAGCAAATTCCAGGCCAGTTGTGGCTGCAGGGAGACTCTGCCTCAAAAAACAAAACAAAACAAAAAAAATCATGCTACACAAATAGCATGAACAGATGAAAGTTAAGAGTTAGAAATCCTTTTTCCTGATTTAGTATGATGAAGTCTTAATTTCCCCACAATTAGAAAGTTATATATGAAGAAATACAAAGCTATAAAATATATAATGATTCTAAATAATATACTCTCCTTACCAATGTTCCCTGGAAATTTCCTGGCTTCTTATACCATGCTTTCTTGCCCCCATCTTCACAGACACACATATGATCCATGAGTCCATTACTATATACAAAACACTTTCCTAACAAAGAAGAGTCCAATAATCACTACTTAGTTCACATAATTATATTACTTTTTTTTTTTTTTTTTTTTTTTTTGGTCTTTTTGAGACAGGGTCTCCCTGTAGCTGCAGCTGTCCTGGATTCACTATGGAGACCAGGCTGGCCTCGAACTCAGAGATCTGCCTGTCTCTACCTCCCGAGTGCTGGAATTAAAGGCATGCACCACCCTGCCCGGCAATTATATTACTTTTACAGATAAATTGCAGGTACAATGAGACTAGAAATTTGTGGACAGAGAAATAACCTTGGGGGGGGCTATACATTCTAGGATGGAAGATGCATAATTAATTTAATTTGTTTACAGTAAGGCACCAGCCTCTAAACTCACAGTGTGAAAAGTACCAGAGTGAATTAGTGATTAGGTTATCTAAAGGATGGGAGAAGAAACACAGAGAAAGAAGGATGTGTTTTGAAAAATCATAGGTTACATGTCTTCTCTTGGCATTCCAGGGAATTCACTTGAAAATAAAAGAATAAATGTTCTTAAATGAAGAATGTAATGCTTTGTCCTTCTCTCTACTTGAACTGCTCAGTCTAGCCAGCCATCTGTCAGCTCCTACATAATTTACTACAACTTGGACTAATACCAACTCATATACTGGATTCATTCTTGCTGCCAAGATTTCTTGTCTGTTATATATAATTCTGTGAGTTTCATAATGTATGAGAATCTCCTTCTTGTTTCTAAGACTTTCTTTAAAATGTAAGAAGTAACCTTTTTAGTCTCTTTTTATAATCCATCTACCCTATCTGAAATAATGACTAGTTATCTCACTTTACTTCTATGGACTCAACAGGTAGGCTTCACTTTATTTTTAAAATTGCTAATTTTTTTGGTAATTATTCTACTTTTATTTATCTTTTTATTTTATTTTATTTTATTTTTGAGGGTTTCTGATAATGTTACATTTTGAACATACAAAGGGTAAAAAGTGAATTTTTTTCCAAAATATTTCAAAGTATGGGGCCAGTCTATCACTGTCTGCAAAGCACCTTCACATACTGTTACTGTAGGTAATTTTGTCTCTTAATTAAAGTAAGACACCATATGTCCATAGTTTTGGCTTGTGCTGAAATGGGGGAAAGAGGGTCCTAGAGGGAGGGCTCTTAGTCTCATTCATAAAACAATTGAAGAAGGGACCCAAATGTAAAATTGCTATTCTTAAAAAAAATTTCCTTTTTGGTGCTAAGGATAGAACTCAAGAGTTCATGCATGCTAGGCAAATAATGTACCACTGAGTTACATCTGCAGAACAGGGATAGGGTTAAGGGAGTGTTCAGATGAGGGAATTTTCTCACAGTTTAATCTACTTTCTGCCATTTGTTCTTGATGTATCTATCATAAGCTTTATAAAGTTTTAAAAGATTAATCATAGAACTGACATTTTTGTCCATCTTATATAATTATTTGTCTCAAATTCCACATTAACCAAGCAATTAACATCTAACTGTCATGTATGTCACAGAATGGACATAGCTCTCAGACAAAGAAGGATGGGAATTAGACCCTAATGTCCCTTACAACTAAAATTCTATTCTTACTTAAGAGGCATATATTCAAATATATAATCATTTTCTGCTTCAATTAGTAGGTCCATAAAAGTGCTAAGATTCTGGATGGATAGATGGACGGACAGATGATAAATATATAGAGGAATAGATGCTACATGTTTCTTTTGTCCTTCCTATACCTCATTGAGTATGATTAAAAGGTGAAAAAAATGTTTCTGCATGAATCATCATTTCTAATAAATTAGCAAAATGATTACACAAACAAAAAATAATACAGTAACATTTAAAGATCTAACACAACCCTGTCAAAATAACCAGTATACATACCTTTGGGGAATGGGTTGTTCTGGGCTTGGAGTCGAATTTTAACAACATCCAGGGGTGTCACTATGAATATATACATTTCAATTAAGAAGTGATATGTATAAATTGTAGTAGGCTCATTTTTAAAAATACACATCTCATCTGTGGCCACCAGGGGGGCACCCATAGGATGAATGGATTATCATGGAATGGAAAAAAGACCAGGGAACTTGTGCAGTTTTATTTCTCTACTCTTATTTCTTCAGCCAAGTACAAGCGCCAAAAACACAGACAACTATGCTTATATACACATACTCATTAGTGTTTTAGCTGAATATTTAAAGTGGCTAGACAAAAGCAGTTCAATAAAATATAATCAAGGTAGCATTATCACCATACTATGCCTTCTTGGGAGAACACATGTATCTTGAGAAACTAGGGAAGTACTGGCATTCTGGAGATAACAGCTCAGCGAGCTTTCTTGCATAAACTTTCTCATGAGACAAGGCTCTCCAGGCATACATGCTCAAGGTTACAGCTTAATTTACCAAACATATTTTTAAAGCCATAGAAACACTATTTACAGTCCCTTCATCATCAATTCATATTTTTCTTCATACCTATGTAACAACAGGAAAGACCACTCTAAATAGTCTTGAGTGCCTATTTTACCAATGAGGTATGCTGCTACACCCTAAATGCAGTATTCTAAATTTTTTCCTTGAATTCCATTTAAAGAGGATTAGTTGAAAGATACACTACAAGCACTTTCCTCACAAGCACTAGTCATTTCTATCTACATCTACAATCCCATTAGTATTAAAAGTGAAATACTAAAATTTTATAAGAAAAATTGTTTAAATATTTTATTATTTTTACTTTATGTGTATGAGTGTTATGCCTGCATGTAGGTAAGTGCACCCATGTCGTGCAGTGCCCGCAGAGGATGGAAGAGGCTGTTGGATCCCCTGGAACTGGAGTTATGGATGGTTGTTAGCTGCCACGTGGGTGCTGGGATTCAAACCCAGGTCTTCTGCAAAAACAACCAGTGTTCTTAACCACTGAGCCATCTCTCCAGCCCCAAGAAAATGTTTTCTAAAGTAGTGAAAGTTCCCAAAGTCTAAAGATTTGAGAACTTTGTATTTTACGAAATTAAAAAAAAAAAAAAAAGCCAGGCGTGATGGTACACGCCTGTAGTCCCAGCACTTGGGTGGCAGAGGCAGGCGGATCTCTGTGAGTTCAAGG